CACTCAATTCACGTCAATCATTCTCAAAGAAAAATTAAATTGATTATATGCAAATCGATTTTAAGAATCAGTATGGGCTAAGTCTAATTCCATTGACACGTTATTTCCTGTAATTTTCGGTTATAGTTCACAGCCTTGTAAAACCAATCGAAAAATCGATTATCTTTACTTCAATGCTTATTCACGTGAGGATAAAAATTTTAAATCAAAAAAAACAACTTGTCAATAATTATTTCAATCAAAAAAAAAACAAAAAAGCAAAACAATTAATGTAATAAAGTTGAGGTAAGTGCTCATATCAACCAAATCGATTATAAGGGGAGTCGGCGACATGACAAGATACACCGGACCTCATATACTAACATAAATATGTAGTTTTAAAATGTATAATTAAAATTTAACGACACTTAACCCTTTCTTGTTTTCGGTATTTCAACCTACCGTAAACAGATCAGTCAATAGTATTCTTTAAAATAGTGTTAAACAGCCAATCAAATCAAACTCGAGATTAAATAAGAAATCACATGATACACAAAAAAAAATATAAATACAACCCGAGTACGATTAAAAAAATTGGGGGGCTTGATCAAATCTTCTGAACATTCATTCGTGCAAGTAGTTCAGTAGTACAGAAGTTTGGAACATATAGAACATATAATATAAATAAAATTTTTTGATGGTGATCATTACTGTTCCAGTCAAAAAGGAAAGATGGCGTATCACGAGTAAAGGAGTAACCAATAAATAAGACGTTTCACGGTTGATCATAGGCTTAAACGGTAATGATATTCGGCAGTCGGAAAAAAAAATATTGTAGTGGGTTAATGCAAACGAATTTATGTACAGTACGTACATAATATGATGCAGGTGGGTAATGACGGATATATACGTAGTACAGTATGTACTAACCGATTGACGGGATTCCCTTATGTCAAGAAAATGATCTACATCCGATATAAAACATAATTTCGATAATAATACCCTCTTTTTTTGATTATTTTAATATAAAACAGCTTTACTATATGTAAAATTTCATGCTACGCATTTGTACTTAGAAGTACTTAGCCGGTTGTATTAGTAAAATTTTGTGTTATTTGCAGTTTTTTGTTTAGCGTTAGGGTTATCGTTTGTTTACGTTACACGAAGATCATCAAAATTCTGCAATTGTCATTGGTTCCGAGCTGAAATTCTGCAGATCATTTTCTTGACATAAGGGTACTCCCGATTGACGTGTCACAAAATTAACCGATTCTGCATTAATATCGATATTAATACATAATAATAATCTTAATATTTATTAAATCATCAGATTATCTTATTATTATCCAATAAATAAATAGATAAACGGTGGATTGAAACTCTAATGAAATGGAATGTATAATATAATAAAGAATAAACTTTTTTAATGCAATTTTTTAACTTATTGATGCTAAATTGGGTGCCATTAAAAAAAAAGCTAAGCCATTAAATTTATCACTCCTGCATTAACTTTTAATTGGCAACGTATAATATATAATTGAAAGCACCAATACAAAACTCCCGATCCGATAAATTTAATTCATAGCGAACTTGGGTTATTTTGCTTCAACAAAAACCTTATATATAATTGCAACACCTAAATATTCCACGTTCCTGGTTCTAGCGCGACTGCGTCACGCAGCTACCCCTAATGGTTAATCTAAAGCGCTTTCATCTCTCAAAACCGAATAGATTATAACTAAATCTAAGTCACATTTTTGTTATCGCCAAGTTTATTATTAGAAATATCTAAAGTTTTTTACAAGTGCCTCCGTCAGCAAATTTGCTTCTTTAGGACCAAGTTTACAAGCATACTGTATAGTCCTAGTGAGGTTAGGCAAGCATTCATACAAAAGAGCATCTAACAATACATCTATTTCTTCGAAACTAAACTCGAAAATTACTTAAAGAGGTAAGAATAGAGTTTATATAAAGAGTCTCTGCTGATATTTTTACAATTCCAATATTTTCGTTGAGTTCATCTATACCCAAATACTTGATTTTTTTTCGCTTGTTCATAATAACATTGCAATTAATGGAGATCTATTGTTTAATTATATTTCATACTTGTTTATATTCCTCAGTAAATTTTAGTAAATATCGGCCTGGCCTTGTTCATCTTTTATGTTCATCCATTTTCTTTTTCATTTTATTTTCGGAGTTTTTAGACTTCTATAATTAATTCCCATCTCTTAATTCCAACCGGAATTTCGGCCAAACTCATATAAGTGTATGTCGAAATTGTTAAGAGGGTAAGCAAATGAGGAGGGGTAATAAAACCACCGAATTGAATTGGTCCGGCCTTATAACTAAGTTTTAATTATCAAGATACACAGTAGTGTTGTCATCGATAATTATCAAAATACACAGCGGTAAGAATTTTATATCATATAATAAATGTAATAAAAACCTAATAAATTTATATAATATATTATGGGCGGAATGGAAACTATATAATCAATATCAGTATCCAATTTTGAATTTATTACAAATCAAAATAAATTTATACATTATATAATGAGAGAATGGAAACTATATAATGAATATCAAAATTAAATTGAATTTATTACAAATGATAATAATTAAAATTATAAATTATCTCAAAAATCATTTTGACTCATTTTACTAGTTTCTTGTTTAAATTCTTGAACAATGCTTATAACATCAATTACGTTTTCAGCAGACAATGTTTTGCCTTTATTCTTAGCCAACAATCGTGCAGCATGAAGAACATTACGAATTTCACGACCATTCAAATCATAATTAGCAAAGTCATCAGCCTTAAGAGGTAGATCAGCACGCTTGATAAATTTCGACCAAATTTGGCGTCTTCCATTAAGATCGAGTTTGGTATAATGAAGAAACATGTTAACTCGCGAGCATACTGCATCGTCAAAGGTTATAACCCGATTTGTTGTTAAGAAAATGACGCCTAAAAGATAAAGATAGGGATAAAATTAGTAAATTTGCTCGATTATATAAATAATAAATATTAAATCGATAAGCATAAATTTGAATACCTTGATAGTACTCCAAAAGACGCAAAAATATTCCAACCATAGTATTACGAATTAGATCAATTGTGCTACGTTTTTCAAGGTAGATATCGGCTTCATCTAGTAAAATGACAGCCTTCCATGTATAAGCAATATCTAAAACCTTAACTAACTCTCTTTCTAGCCTACAGTATTATAGAAAAGAATAAAGGTGACCATGTTAGTAAAATTACTAAGTAAAGTGTAAAGTATGACAAAGCTTTTTATAATTATTAAAGTAAAATAATACATACGATTCAGGAGTTGATCCAAGTTCGCGTACTGTGAGTATCCATAATGGTTGTTTTAGGTATTCGGCTACACTTTGAGCAGTCAAAGTTTTTCCGGTACCAGGTGGGCCATAGCATAAGAAAATGCATCCATTACCTTTATTGGTAATAGGATCTAAAGACTTCTCTGGCATATTTATACCATTTACACCATTTACAAGTCCATTACAACTAATCGTGTGGGCAGGATCACGATATTGGCTTACTAACCCTTCAAGCATATTTTTCTTATTTTGAGGCATTACAATATGATCTAGAGCATCCGAATCAAAAATAATATCCGAAAATTTTGAAACTTCGAACAAGCCCCATTCTTTTACAGCAAAACTAAAACCATATACTACAGCAGGAGCGAGGAAATAACTTTCATCTTTATCAAGATCATCAGTTTTGAGATAAGTATCCTTTTCTTTAAACATTTTAATATCACATTTATTTGGTGGTTTGTCATCGTCCATTGGATAATCGGGATTCATAGCTGAAAAACTTTGAATATCAATCATGACACGGCCGTCAGCTCTAATTTTCTCTATATACATATTTCGCACGCGCAATAATGGGCCTTCATAATTCATATAGTTGTTTCCTTGAGTAAGCTTAAAGAATTGTTTACCATTTGCAATTATGTTTTCCTTGAGAAACTCTTCGGCAGTCGAAAGCTTAATTGGAACAACAGGTAAATCAGAGAAGCTCACATCACCATTGAAATATTCGATAATGCGTTCTATTTGGCAACGCTTAAATCCAACGCCATCATATTTAATCACTTTAATATTTATCTTGAAAAATTTTCCAGCACATGTTACTACCTCATCTACTGAGGAAATGATACCTCCGACCTGCTGACCAGACAATGCACACCTACTGCATAATTAGTAAATTAGTAAATTAGTAAATTAGTAAATTATAAATTATAAATTATCAAGAGATTACTTGTTTTCTTTTACTTAATACTTACTACCATACTTCCAAATTTTCAGTATAGAATACCCATAACATCTCATACGAAACTTTTTTATGTGCAATCATTACTTCACGAGCTTTTATAGTTTGTTTAAATTCTTGCTCAAGGAACCGAACCAGACGCTTTAGGTGGACAGTGCTCTCTAAATCAGTCATGATGTCTAATATTTGATTAAATTGATTAAATACTCGTTTATTTTATTTGATGCAATTATGAATTATTATAAATTCAACAAGATCAAGATCAAACTAACTTACTGATAGCATCTTTCAGTTTCTCCAGTACAAGAAATAAATCTTGAGCCTTTATAGCTACTTTGGGCTTATCATCATCGTCAATTTCGTCAAATGGTTTTTTATTTGGAAGGATATCTCGCAAGATTTCTATCAATTGCGGGGAGCTTACTTCAACGTACGGTTTATCATTACGTGGATATATGACCACGAAGGGAATAATGCTGATACTTTCAACTTTTATCCTACGTTCCATTTTGCCATAATAATTATCATACCATTCATCAAAGCATGGCCATTTCCAGTCATCTTTATCAACGACTAAAGCTGACATGGTTGAATCCTCTGCTTTTTCGATAAAAATACTATTTTCCATATTTTCAAAATAATCTTATTAAGATACGATAAAGATCTCAAAAGCAAAATGAGTGAGATTGAAAAAACAAATAAACGGAATAAATGGATACTTTTATAAAGATGACCATGGCAAAAATTCTCCGGTAGCTATTACTACTGCGCAGGCTCTTACAGGAACTCTAATAACAGTAACATCCATAAATATCATAAAAAATGAACAATAGGATAAATTCTCCGGTAAACCCTTAAATTTTTATATATTGTTTAAACAGGATTCCAAAATAAATGTGAAGTGTGATTTCATTAATATTTTGGGTGATACTACGTAATCGTAAGCATTCTAATCGGAGTAAGAAGTCCACATGCAGAAATCAAATACTAAATTAAGGGTAGCAATTCATCTAACGCTAATAATTGACCGATAAATAAAGAAACAGCACTAGTAAAAAGTGTTGAGGGTTATTTTACCAATATATTTTAACTCTCATTCAAATTTATTTATTTTTGTGCACCGCTTTTAGCCAAGGAAATAATCAAGGAGTCATTTACACATGCGTGCGCAGCCTGCGCATGAAATTTAAAAATTTACCGATTTACCTATCTGCTATTTTTTAAACAAGCCATTTGTACGTACGTACGAGCCGGCTTTTATCAAAATAAGGCATATCAGTGCCAAGAGAATTGAATGTTACGTGATTACTTTAAAATGTACAAAAAATTATGAGGTATACCATTATGATAATTTATAAAGGACATGACGTAGAAACTATTTTGGCCGAAATTTATGCCAAACTAATAGCCAATACCTAAAGCCAAAATTAATGCCACAAGTGCCAAAAAGTGCCAAAAGACTAAAATATAGCCAAATTAATTGCATCATTATATGTAATAGTGATACGGGCGGCCCGGAAATTATCGGCCGGGAATCTTCGGAATGTAGACAATAAGACAACATCGAATATGAATCTCTTATAAAGTCAAAGAAAAAAGTATTGAATCGGATCTGAATAACTCCCCAATCCATGTCTAAAGTGCGATAAAGGTTGAAAATCTTTCAAAATCTTTCAAAATCTTCCATAAAAAGATCAGCCCTGACCGACCGGGCCGACCCGGGCCGGCCTCGACCCGAGATTTTTCCATCGGCCCGTATCACTAATATGTAAAAGTATCATTCGTTATATCAGTTCAATAAATTTATAAAATTTATGTATAAAAGTATCATTCGTTATATCAGTAAAATAAATTTTTAGTATACTGTTACCAATAATTATTACATTATTTTAAACTCTTTAATTCTAACTATGAACTCGACTTCTTCACGAGGTGGAAGACCCCCCAAAAGTGTGAAATTATAAAAGGCCAGGCTAAAGATCGTGGTCATTATAAAATGTGGTAAATCTTGAACATGTGAAAAGTCAAAAGATTAGAAAATCCTTTGGCTACTGAATGTCCAAAAGCCGATATTGAAACTAAACAAAAATTATTTCGAATCGTAGCTGCTTCGATATTTAAAAATTGTTCATAATACTGTATTGTAAAAGTAGTTATAAAATATTTTAGTTTTTTAGGTTGCTAAAATGTATTTATGTTTATGCTAACTATGTAATCCCAGCTAACAATTCCGAGATTCATAATGCTTCTAATATATTTAAATTGCGGCTTTTAATTTAAATTATGGCATTCATATAAATTTTAGTTTCAGCTTTTATGTTATAATAGTTGCGGCTTTATTTCTACTAAAAAATTGATAATAAAATATTTTTGGCAAAACGCAATTAATTTCTACTATCGATTGCTTCTATATATTTAATTTCGGCTTTATTATTATAGGCTTTGATTTCAGCTTTATGTTACGGCATGAGTTACGACTTGCGGCTCTATTTCTACTAAAAAAAATCGATGTCGAAATAGTTTGAAACAAACAAAGACGTAATGCTATTTTGTTTCAAAACAATCCGATTATTTTTTTCCGAACAATATGTTGCATTTTTTTATAAAATTCTAACACGTACGTACGTACGTACGTGCGTACGTACAGTACGCATAATTGATTTGTAGTTGATCGCACCTCATTAAATATATGCCATTCCATATTTGTCTATTGATCGGCTTTTAGAAATTCTTTCAAATTTCCTTAATTATTAGTTATTTTTAGCACTTAGATATAATTGTTAGCGCTAGGTGCCATGCCAAATTACTTTTTTAGGAAATTTTGAATGTATGGTTTTTTATATTTGGTAACCCTATAAAAAATTTTTTAAAATCATACTCAGACTTTACTCAGATTATTTTTTAAGAGATGAGCATTTTCCGTAACAAAAATCTATATAAAACCTTTAAAATATTCTCAATATTTTCAAATTCCTGTTTATTTTAGAAACCTTGTTAATTTCCCGATTATAATTTTTATCAAGCAAAAAATTATAATCAGGAAATTAACAAGGTTTCGAAAATATTCAGAAAATTTTAAAAGTTTTATTTAGATTTTCTTACAGAAAATGCTCATCAGCTAAAAAAATAATCTGAGTAAATTCTGAATGTGATTTAAAATTTTTTTATAAGGTAATTAATTCTCATTAAGTTAATTTATTTTGGTATTTCGTGTTTCACCGATTGTATAAAGTACTCCATATATAGCACTAGGTATTTGTGCAGAGTAGTAGTAGATCAAAGCACTGCGCTAGCGAAATTTGTGCTTAAAAAATTTTTCACTTATCGAATAACTGTTGGTTATATAATAAAAAAAATTGATTAATAACTAAATAAAAAGAAAAAAACCCCTCAACTTGAATAATAAGTATTTTTACGATTAAAAAAAAAGGAAATAATACAGTCATTCCTTATTAATATCAACTCTTAGGCTATATAATAAGCTTTTATATATTAAAATTATATTGAAATTCTCTCATATATATCAACTTTAATATGTTTCCTCATTAATATCACTATCAATATGAATATAAAAGAAATCTAAATAGGTTGATATTAATGAGGGACAACTGTAAATGCTCAGCCCAAATGGTGCATGAATTACTTTATTTATATGCAATAATAAAGAATGACTATTTATATCATTATTTTTCATTTCTACCAACTAAAAATAGTAATTGATTAAAATTTCTCAATTCTATATTATCCCACCAATCTATTAATAAGATCAAGGAAAATAACACATTAAATCATTTATTACTTTAAATTTATTAAAAATATGTTTCCAATTAACCAGTTTTTTCATAACCTTTTTTATTGTATATCAATTACTATCTCCAAAATCTCTGCAAAATAATGCAAAATACCTTAATTGAAATATATATAAATAGAAAAGATTTATTTTCACTGTTTTTCAATGATTCAATATTGGACTAATAATTTTTTTATAGATTGCATCAGCAAGTTATATCTTTATATGGTGCAAGTTAAAGCTTAAAATAAAAATAGTCACTAAACAAGAACATGAATAATTACTATTGCACCTAAATTATTTATTTGTATTAATATAACCAATAGGTATAAAGAATATTTATTAATAGATTGAATTAAGAATAGCAAAACAAGTTTATCAAACAAGATTACAAATACTTATCATTATATCAAAATTGTTAATTTGCATTAATTTAGCTATTAAGTATAAGACTAGTTTGTACCATTGGATAAAGCCTTCTCATATATTAGCAACAGATCCAGTTTTAGAAATAAAAAAAGTGAAAGAAAGAGTTACAGTTTTATTAACTGCTAATGCAGCAGGATCAGAAAGGTTAAAGCTATTATTTATCTATAAATATAAAAATCTACATGCAATTAGAAATATTGATAAAAAAAAATTACCTGTTGAATATTTTTGAAACAAGACTGCTTGAATGCAGAGATCCATTTGGAACCACTATATAAATAACTTGAATTTAATGATGCATTAGCAAAATTGCTATATACTACTTTTAATTGATAATGCTTCAACCTATGTTCTTGATGATAATACAATATTAACTAATATTAAAATAAAGCTTTTACCTTCCAAAACTACATCTCATCTTCAATTAATAGATGCTGAAATCATTAATTCTTTTAAAGTTAGTATATTATATAATCAGAATTACTATACAGCATATTAATTTTTTTTTCTTAAACAAAATACAAATGTCTTCTTATTCAAAACTGGTTGAATGCATATAAATTTGCACATAACAATTAAACCGAGGTAGAACCAGTTAATATAAAGGAAGCAATTGAATATTGTGCATCAGCATGGGATGAAGTATTGAATAAGACAATTAAAAACTGTCAGCATAAAACAGGAATACTTCTAGTTGAATTAGATCATAATAACCTATCTCAAGAAAATACTTCATTATATAATGAATATCTGAATGATGAAAATGAAGTTGATGATCTTATTAAACAACTTCCAATTAATACTAATAATCTTTTATCTGCCTCAGAATATATAAAAATTGACAATGACCTATCTACAACCAAAATATCTTCAAACCAAGAAATTTTAGCTGCTCTTCAGGAAGATGATGATGATGATAATACAAGCGAGCCCTTAATTTAAATTTCACTTAAAACAGCATTGGTAAGTTTGAAGAATATAAAGCTATTATTGTTGAATCTACTAGAAGCCTTATACATTGAAAATGATGATTCAAAGGTTATTACAGCTAATTTCAAAAAGGTGTAATCAAGCAATTTTTATCACATATATATAAAAATAGGAAATCAGGAAATTGGAAAATCAAATTATTAATCAAAATTAAACTTTTTATTTATTTTTTTTATAAATCAAATAAATTATTTTTATTGTCATATTCAATGAATGCACAATTTACAAAACTTAAATATAAGCGAGGAACTTGTTTCGGATGTCGGATATGTTTATATTGTGGAATTAACTTACAGCAACAATGATGTAACTGTGTATTAACTCAAGCACTACACAAATGTAATTGAACTAATGCTGTCAAGTATGCATACACAAGAATTTTTAATCCTAATTGGACTGGAAATCAACTTTCTTTTATTAAAGAAAAAGTTGTAAATTACAATTATTCAATAATGATAAAAGAAATTTTTAAATTCTCACTTTGTTCATGATGTAATAGTACCTTAACTCAGATAATTTCGACCTAAACAAAAAAGACAAATAATACTGGAACTCTTTCTAATATAGAAATAACCCATGATATAGAGGTTAATTCTGAAGTATGTGATCTTACTATGGTAGAAAATAAGACAATTCAAAATTTATCAGAAATTTCTGAATCTGATAAAAATAATGAAATTGAACCTTATTCTACAGATGATGACAATAATTATAAGATCCATTATGGGGTTTTTATTAAATTGGATGGAAAATTTCAACCAGCTAAATGGTATACAATCATTGTATCAGAAGTAGATGAATTTCTTGCAGAAATTCATACTAATGTAGTCATATTAACAAAAAATAAATCTATCGAAGCAAGTGACTATAATATAGCATTCAAAGCAGAAAAAGCACTAAGTGCTGGAACTCAGTTAGTTGATACTCAGAATTTTTAAAAATTCTGTTCAGATTATCAAAAACTTTTAGCAGCAAAAAAAATATGGGAATTTTCATTACAATTAATTTGCAAACTTCAAATAAAACTAAACATAAAAAAAAGGTAAGTACTAGTATATAAAATTTTTAATTTTTTAAATAAAAATTAATTTATTTTATTTTAGAATAATAGTTCTGAAACTGAAATCGATATATCTGAAGACAATAACCCGAAAGTATATAAAAACAAAAAAAAGTTCCAAAAATTTCAAACCTTACATCAGAAGAAGCTCAGTTAGCAAAACACGTTTTAGAAATTCGAACTGCTAATCATTGTAATATACATAATCGGGCTTGTTTAAACAAAGATGAAAGTAAAGAAAATCATATTGAAATAACCTTTATGATGCTTTTAATTTGGGCATCAGAGATAGTAAATATATTTTATTATTCTAAATAAATTAATATATATTTTTTATTTATTTATTTAATATTATTTAAGAATAAAGGATTAGCTATGCCTATACAACTACCAACACATCCGCTATTCGCATATTGACATCTATCCAAAATGAAAACATCTAATTCACAATTTGATTCAAACTTAATTTCATCACCAAATCCATATTTACCATTTCCATTTTATAATCCGTTACAGGCATTTTCAGCATTCTCTCAACCATATTCTACTTTGAATATTTCAGAACAAACATTACAAACTACAAAATTAACTATACCTACTATTGGCGATTTTTTAAAACAAGTCAAAGTGAAGGTACAAATAATTATTACCAAACTTTTTTAATAGAATTAGAATGACAAAGAATCTCAGTACGAATACTTTCAAAGTTATCAGATGAGGAATTTGAAAAATGCGGAATAGATACTATTGGTACACGAAGAACTCTTCATGATTATGCTAGCAAATATAGTAATTTTAATTATTTTAATAGACATAAAATTCTTTCTGTCAATCACTTACACAAAATTTAACTAAAAATTTGCCAGTATAAAATCCTTAATAACTTAATATCAGTCACATGATTTTTCACACATATTTGATAGTAAATTTTTTATATATAAAATTATAATAAAAAACATATAGAATTACATATAAACTTTGTTGCGATGATGTTTTTCGATCTAAATATTAACTTAAAATTAAATTCTGCGATTATATAGAGCATAAAAAGAAGAAATTTTTTGTTCTATTTGGCATGTTATAGCTCTGTCATCTTTGCACATTTTAAAAATTTAACTTCGCCAAAAATAAATATTTATCAATTTTAAAGTAATGATTACATGTAAAAGCATGTTCTGAACAACTTTACTTAGAAAATAAATGTAGATTACCTAGATAGAAAAATGAGTTAGCTATATGCTAAAGCTAAAAATTCATGTTTTTCTATGTGCAACTTTTTTTTTTATCTAGGTAACCTGTTTTTGTCTTTTAAGTAAAGTTGTTCGGCATAAAATTTTACATCTATTTAGTTTGCCGATTTTCGTTTTTGTGAACCTTTTACTAAGTGCAAAATGGGCAAAAGTACTATTATTGACCAGGATAATTCATCGTTATTGACTGGCCTTAAAAAAAAAAAAAAAAAAAAACCGATTACGTTATTACGCATAATTGTTTGCAAATTTCGCAATACTGATACTGCAATAAATGAATCACATTTCATATGCGTATAATATTAATTTAACATTATTTCACAATACTGATACTGCAATAAATTACATTTATAGTATTAATTTTAACATCAGCAATTACAACATTAACGCCTGTTTTGCCCTATTTTTTTTGCCATCGAACCAAGTAAATAATTTTTTCTTATTCAATTCCGCATTATCGTCTAAGTGAATATTTTGCTCAATACAAGCTTTTACAAAATCGCACCTTTTTCAATCTGTCTGTTTTTCTTCAAAAAGTTTTTCAAGTGCAGATCGTGTGATGGTTTTGTTGGGCAAGGTTATATCACCATTATCCTTATTTAGTTCTTGAAAAGACCGAGTCAATCGAGTCTACAAAGTATATGTTTTTTAGCATAAATTTTTGATTCATCGCCTTTTATTATTTAAATTACTAACCTTTGTAATATTACGTTTCCGATTATGAATAGCAAGTGTTGTTCGTTTTTGAATTGATGGAGCCAATGGTTTTAATGTTTTCTCTATATTATCTGCCTGAAATTCTCTTGGCTCATTTATTATAAATAACTCAACTTCCTTACATAAGATAGAATCATCATCAGTAAAGTTATTCTAGAAAATTACCAGAATTGTTAATACAACAACAAAAATTGTGTATTTCATTATAAATTAAACATACTTCTTTATCCATTATAACTGTTAAATTATTGAACTTTTGTGGTTTTGCTCCATATATTTTAGGTGCCCCAGTATTTGATGTTCGTTTTTTAGGCATTTCAGTTGGGCGAAAAGGATCCTTTTCAGCATTTTCATGCTCATAAGGAAAAAAAATGTCATTACCATATACTGAATAAATTCGAATAATTTCCTCAAATGCAGCATCAATTGAGCCATTATAAATAGTAAGATTCTTTTGTGCTGCCGGCATTATGTGTTCTTTATTTCGAAAATATGAGACAAGGTCATGCATAATTATATTTAGTGAAATCTTGTTATCTTCAAGATCATTAAATAGATGTGCAGCTTGTACATGCTTGCACACATCACGGAAAGAACTATTCCATACAAAGTCAAGACATGTACATTCTCCAGTAAAAATATTACTAAGATAGTAACCATCTTGTTGCATAATTGGGTATCTAGACATAAGCTTATCTAACAATGGTTAAAGTAATTCACATGTTTTACTATCTATACTAATATTTTTCATAGTATATGGTAATCAAAACTTGCTATCTCTTATTTTTACATAATAATATATATTATTATTTGTAGGTTTAACCCGATTAAGTAAAACATAAAGTCGTCCTTAATTTAATAGTCATTTAATATCCATTGGCTGTTTAAATGGCAATGTTTTATGCTCTATAATATGTGAATTCCAATAAGTTACTTGCCCTGCTTCAAATACGAGTTGTGGAGATGCATCTTCAACTATATTATCTCTAACCGAAGTAATACTATACAATCTTTCAATAAATCGATCAATTGGTTGAATACCTCTATGTTGCCCTTCAATAGATCTGTTTATTCGTTCAGTAAGATTATTTGTAGTCATAGGTTTGGCACTTAGTATATTATCAGAAGATGGCAACTGACTACCGTCAATAAAACAATCAATCCACTCATCAGATAACCAATTTGCAAATATATCATTACACAAATATTCCTTTGCAGTCACTATAAGTGGCAAAGATTCAATAAATGCTTGATAAGCTTTACCAAGTTCTAAAGCTTCTTCTTTAGTTTTACTACGACCCACAGCTTTAAAAGCTATAGCAATTGGATATCGATATCATTCATCAATTCTCAAATTTTTAAGATGTTCACCAAGTGTTTGTATAATATGAAACCAGCATAAAATTAAGCCACATAAAATAGGTTAAAGTCCTCGTTTTGTTGGTTGGTGCTTATCAATCATTGCATATGGCCTCCATACTTGTGCACAATTTCGAATTCTCATAAAACTCTTGTCATTCAATATATCTATATAATTATATTGGTGTAAACAATTACTATTATTACAAGGGATATTTCGCTGGACTGCCTCTACTGCAAGCCTAATCGTGTGACTGTTCTCTTTATTTGATATACCAAAATGCAATTGGTGTTCCATAACCTGCACAATCTTCAACAACTAGAGATAAAATTGGTGCTCCGTCACTATTTAGATCATATTTGCTGTCAATACCGAAGCAGAAAGAACCGTGATCACGTACTTGTTGAAGCCATAAATCATCACTTAATGTAAGCTGATAATAATGTTCAGAACAGTCTTCAGGCATATTAATATTTGGTTGTTGATAATATAGTATAGAACCTTTTTCTTTTAAGATTCCGGTTACTAATTCATGTACAATTGTCCATGGACCAACTTTTTTTCGTGTATATAAGGTATCTTTTTCTATAAGTTGTTTAAGCGTTTCATCATTACATATAGAATTCTGATTTCTATACAATTGTTCAAGTTCATATGGTGATGCACCATTGTATAGTGCAAGAAGCTTCATTTTGATTTCTTTTGTTGTGCATTTGTCAGCTTGATGGCTTATAATCGCCAGATCACGTGCTTCACGACTTAGATTAATTCGGGATGGTGTAGTAATTTTTTGAATAATGCTTTGTAGAACATGATGACCTCTAATAATCATATGCATTGGAAGGTTTGTATTAACTTCTGAAAGCATAACTTTAGTAATAATT